TTTTTTTTTTCTTTCTATAGAGTGCGTGCACTCGCCAGAAAGACAGAGAGACATAAAGTGAGAAATCACCCCCAGGGGGGTTGGCCATGCCACAGTACCTTCTCTTCCATTCTCCTCTTGGGATCTTGGGCACGCATGCACACATGCCCGGCGTGAGTTTAAGCCACCAGGTCCGGGACTCAAACCACAGCTGCCTACATGGGAGTCCAGCAACATAGCCATTACGCCAACTGTTGGCCCCCAGAAATCACATTTTTAACTAGTCCTATATATTGACACTGGTTCCTTTTAAATTAAGTTTCCTGTGTGTAAGGCATTTAGCTTTGCTTTTTTATCACTTTTTGATGGTGGTAATTACTCACGTAACTTAAATGTCCCATTAGCGACACAGCACATGTAATGCCGCACAACCATCAGGACTATCAAGTTGCAGGACGTTCCGCCACCTGGGAAGGAAACCGCACACCCCCCCAGAGCAGTCCTGCTCCCCGTTCCTCACGTCCCGGTGTCTGGGACGCCTGCCATGCTGCCTGTGGACTCACTCTTCTCAGCACATGAACGGACCCATGTGACCGTGCTGTCCGGTGGTTCTCACTCGGAGTAAGCAATGCTCTCCAGGCTCATCCAAGTCTCAGCATGTGATAGGACTTCATTCCTTTTCACCTTGGAACATTCCACGTCTGGTTATTCCTTCAGCAGCTGATTTAACACACGGGGACTTGCTACCTTCGAGCAACAGGAGTGCCACTAGGAACATTTGGGTACGATTCTGCTTGAACACCTGTCTGCAATTCCTTCAGGTATAAATCCAAGAGTGGAACTGCTGGGGCATGTACAGGGTAATTCTATGCTGCACTCACTGAGCAACTACCAGACTATCCGCAGAGCTGTCCCACTCTACATTCCCACCAGCAACGTGTGAGAATTCAGTTTCTCTGCAGCCTGACAGCTGTCACGTCCTACTTACCATTACAGCCATCCTAGCTGGTGTGAAGTGGTTATCTCACTGAACTTTTCGTGTGTTTCTGTAATAACTATTAATTATGTTAAGCATCTTTTCATGGTTTTCTTTGGCCATTTATATATTTTCTTTGGAAAAAGTAACAAATCCTTTGTCTCCTCCCCTTTTTTTAAATTGCTGAGACCAGGAGATGACATAATGGTTACATCGATGGACTCCCATGTAGTCAACTGCAGTTCAAGTCCTGGACCCAGATACTTAAACTCAAGCTGGGCACATGTGTGCGCGTGCCCAAGATCCTGAGAGAAGAATGGTGGAGAAGGGAATGCGGCATGGTCATCCCCTGGGGGGGTGATTTCTCTTTCTGTCTCTGTCTCTCCCTGTCTCTTTGGCAAGCGCACGTGTCCTATAGCAAAATAAAGGGTACATGTTCTCACTGGAGAGAGAGGAGGGAGAGCAAGGAAGCCCTCCTCCCACCCATCCCCCCAAGGAGGATGACCACTGTATTTACTTCTCCTTTATTCTCTTCGAGATTCTGGGCACATACTTGCATATGCCTGTTGTATTTTTCAAGTCATCGGATCTGGGACTTGACCTGTCACTGGCCATGTGGGATTCAGACACCTTAACCACCACACTACCTGCCTGGCCCACCTTTGCCTTTTTTTAAGTTGAGCTATTTGTCTTTTAATTGTTGAGTTTTAAGAATTCTTTATATATTCTATAAACTAGACCTCTATTAGAGATATCATTTGAAAATAATTTCTCCCAGTCTATAGGTTGTCTTTTCTTCACCGTCTTATAGACACCTCGGTGTACAAAATGTTAATTTCTGATGTACAGGCTCTCCTCACCTAACAACCAAGTTCCGATCTACAATCAGATCTTTAAGCAAATTGTTTGATAAATGAGGACTTTAGGGCGGTGGTCTTACAGTGCGTTGTGACGCTGTGAGATACGTATTTATCAGTAGATACCACATGACACCATATCAGGGTAATGTCATGCTATCCATACAAAAAAAAGGTAAGCGCCGGAAAGCGACAAGACATGTAACCAATAATACAAACCCAGCACAGTCATTTTTGCTTACTCTGAATACTACCTAGGGGCACGATAAAGTGCAAATTTATACACCAACTATGTAGTCTCGTGTTGCGAATGCTTCATGTACTGAATACTGATTCCAAGAATGAGACTACTATGGAGCAAGGAGAGTCTCGGACTCACACAGACCGAGAAGGAGGATCTCCCCACGCTGGAGAACTGGTCCTAAGTCTAAGCAGTTGTTAAAAAGATGGTCGTTAAACGAGGACTGTCTGTAGTCCAATTTATCTATTTTTCCTTTTGCTGATTATATTTTTGCTGTCATGTCTAAGAAATCAATGCCAAATTCAGGATCACGTAGATCTGCCCCTATGATTTCTTCTAAGGAGTTCGGTTTTAGCTTTTCTATTTAGGTCTTAGATGTATTTTGAGTTAATTTTTTATATGGTTCTGGGAAGTGTCCAACTCCATGCTTCTGCACGTGGGTATCGAGTTATCTTAGTACCATTTGTCGGAAAGGCTATTTTTTCCCATTAAATGGCCTAAGTTCTTTCTGAAATCAACTGACTGCAGATGTTCCAAGGTTTACTGTGGGATTCTCAGTTCTATTCCACTCTTCTATATGACTATTCTTATGTTTTGATTTGTGGAAAGCTTTTAAAATTAGGAAGTATAAGTCAATCAATTTTGTTCTTCTTCAAGACTGTTTAACTCTTCAGGACTTACTGTAATTCTATGGTAGTACTAGCATCTGTTTTCTCATCTTTTTAGTCAAGGTCATTGGGATTTTGATAGGGGCTATGCTGAATCTATAGATTGCTTTGGGTGGTACTGACATCTTAACAGTATTTAGTATTTAATTACACAAACTTGGGATGTCTAACCACTTATTTAGGTCTGTTTTAATTTCTTTCAGCAATGTTTTCTAGTTTTCAGTGTTCGAATTTTACACTTCCTTGGCTAAACTTAATCTCAAGTATTTGTTTTTTAATTTTATTATTATTATTAAAGGTTTTTGCCATAGCATATGTGTGCTCACCAGAGAGAGACAGAGAGAGGGAAAGAAAGAAATCACCTCCTGGGGGGGGTGGGGGTGGCCATACCATGACCCCTTTTCTCCCTCCTCCATTCTCTTTCTGAGATTTTGAGTATATAAGCACATGGTATGATTTTAAGCATATAAACAGAGTCATATAAGCACCTGGTATGATTTTCAAGCCATCAGGTCTGGGACTCAAACCATAGTCAGCCATGGGGGAGTCCAGCACCACAATCACTATGTCACCTGCTAGCCCAGTTCTTTTACATTTTAAAGACAACCAAATGACTCACCTATTCCTTAGAATAAAATCTGCTCAAACAAGGACTCTACAGTTGTATTCAAAAGCATATGCAGTAAATTTTCACTTCTAAATTGAACATGACTGGAGGGTATGTCCATTTTTTTAATTTTTAAATATATTTTAAATTTACATTTAATCACTATACATCTTTACAGCATATAAAAATGTTTTTTTCCCAGCATGAATACAGAGCATATTAGGCAAGTCACAGATAACACCATGTACACTATCATCAACAAATAATTTTTCATTTTTGTTGCTATTAAATTTTTTCCCTGATCCCCTACTTCCCCATCCTTTGTTACTTACTCCTTCTCATATTAAAAAATATGGACTGCTTCAGGAATTGAGTGTCAGGGACTATGCTAATCTTTTCTGTATCATTCCAATTTTAGTATATGTGATGCTGAAGTAAGCACTGAATATACATTTAAAAAAAAAAAAAAGCTTTCTATTTTTTTTTTTATTTATCTTCTCCTCCATTCTCCTCTCGGGATCTTGGGCACGCCCGCACACGCGCCCGGCGTGAGTTTAAGCCACTGGGTCCAGGACTTGATCACCAGCGACATAGCCATTACGCTAACTGCTGGTCCCAAAGCTTTCTATTTTAAAGCTGAGATTTCATACACTATATTTACATATAATATATATACCAGTATTTAAAAAACATCTTTAAAATTTTGATTTTACTATTATTTTTTAATTTTGCTATAGGGCATGTGCACTCACCAGAGAGACAAAGAGAAAGTGAAAAAGCAGGCTGCCAGGTCTGCGACTCATGAACCACGATTGGCCACACGGGAGTCTAGCACCTTAACCACGATGCTACCTGCTGACTCCCTAGCATTTTAATAAGCCTTACAAGAGGAAACTGTATTAGATATAAGCATCCCCAGTTTATTTCTAAACCAAAGGCTTTATTTGTTTAAATAAAACTGCCTTTCAAAATAAGTTAAACATGGTCAAATCATCTTTCATCCATTCCTTTCCTTTATTAAATAATCTTAGCAATTAAAGCCTTTTCCCATGGGGGGCCAGCATGTGGCACGATGGTTAGAGCACTGGATCTCACACAGTCAACTCTATGGTTCAAGTTCCAGACCTGGTGGCTTGAAAAACACACCAGGTATGTGCGTGCACGTCCAAAATTCCAAGAGGAGAAGGAAGGGAAAGGCCTTTTGGCATGGCCGCCCCCTGGAGAGTCATTTCTCCCTTTCCCTCTCTTTGTCTCTCTCTGGCAAGCACATGCAAAAAATGTAAAAGCAAAACACAACAAAATCTTTCCTCATAGGTTACATTTTCTCTCTGGCCTTTTAATTTCTCAGGTTTTTTTTTTTTTTTTTTTTTTTTCCATCTTCTCGTGGCCTTGTTAGGTTCTCCAAGACCCTAATAAAATACTTAAGCCAGAATTGGACAAATTAGAATATAACTTCCCATTGAGTCTGCAAAAATCAGAGAACCAACCTCAGCTCGTTCAAAAATAAATCAGTGTGGAGGGAAAACTGCTCATTTCCTTTTTTTTTCCAATTTCTTATAGGGTGCATGTGCTTGCTGAAGAGAAAGGGAAAATGAGAAAGCAACTCCTGAGAGGGAGGGCCACACAACAACTCTTTCTTCCCTCTCCTCTCCTGTGTCTACAGTGTTTTTCAAGCCGTTGGGGCTAGGACTCAAACTACACAGTTGGCCATGTGGGACTCAGTACCTTAACTGCCATACCATTGGCAGGCCCCAATATTGCAGTAATTTCTAATCCCTTGAGCAGAATGATTTAAAGAACATAAACTTCCAATGATTAAGTATTTTGATATGGCTACTAGTAAAAATAAAATATACTTACCCAATTCAGAAGACAATTTCAGGTGGCTTTTTTCTGGATCTTCAATATGATTATCTAACAGGTCATCAATGTTGTTTGCTTTTAACTGTGGCTCTAATAATCGACTTGGGCCTCGAGTGAAACGAGGATAGAATTTTTTTGGAAATGGTCCACGAGGCCCAGACCCCTTGATGGGCACATTCTTAAGTGGCTGGGTCACTTCACTGAAGTTGAAATAAACAAAAAGCAAAACTGTCCAAGTCGCAGATGTAAAAAGGCACCCGTAACAGAAATATCGAACTGTGACACTTCCCATTATAGCCCTAGCATAGCTGAAGGTCCATTTTCAGTTTCCTAAAAGAGAAGGACAGAAATATGTCAGACACTTTGCTATATTTCTAAACCATCAACCAAAGACACAGTCACTGCTTTTCAGACTACCAGATAGGACACCCATGCTTATCATTAACAGAGATCAAATACAAGAAGATACATGGGGAACACTGAACTTAAAAAAAAGGGTTCAGCAATTCAACTACATGCCACTGTGTGAATGCTCAGAAAACCAATGGCAGCAAAATAGCTAACTTGTTCATTTGCCCATGTTAACAGACACTTCACCTTTGTTCCGGATTGCTTTCAGCTTGGTCTTTTTTTTTTTGTTTTTTTTTTTTTTTCAGATTACTTTCCATGAGGAAAATACAAGTACTACATGTATGATGACAGGACATCTAAGGCCCTTCCCATTGTAAAATGATGAGGTATTTTTTTAAACTCAAGGATGCCCCAGTGCCTGCTCCAGACCTAATAGTTATTTTCAAATAAAGAGTTCAAATAATTCTATTTTCTCTCTCCTGTGTCATTACAATACCCTGTAAAACAAGGCAAGAAAAAAAAAGTATAGCATTGAACTGAAATTTTCTAAGCTTTCTGATGCTATGTGGAGGATCCACAAGTTCCTAAGAAATTCTTTCTGCAGAGCCCAACGCATATATAAGGCAGTTTCACAGAACGGACTTAGGGCAGAGAAACCCTACACAAGTCACGCACACACAGGAAATCTACAGAGATGCCACTTCCAAATTACTTATTTCTGCAGTATAGAATGATTTCTGCAGTATAAAAATAATATTATCATACCCAAACGATCAGAACAAATCAAATCAGCATCAATAAATCCCACTTTAAAAATTAAGCTGTCCGAATTCCAAGTTAACAACGGTGGCTATCTCACTGTAAATGAAGCCCTCAGAATTACGTGAGATGATGTTACGATGCATCAGGTTCAACGACTAAGACAACGATCTGCACTGAGTCAAGGCCATCCCCAGAAGGGCCATGGGTGGCTCTTGTTTGCTTGTTTCTTCCCTCAGCACCATGAAAGGCGCACAGAAGATGCTGAAATACTACAGAATATCAGTATTTCCCATTGATATTTCCCACGTAGCTAAATTTAGTAAACAGTAAGAACTGCATGTGTGATCATTCTCCAGTTCCTTACAGGGGCCTTCACTTCTGGCATTACCTCTATGTCCACTACTGTCTCCCACTACATCCCTCTTACTCGTTCTGTCACCCACACACTGGTCTCCTTATGGTCACCAAGCACGTCCATCCTGGCCCAGCTAGGGCCTTTGAACCAGCTCTTCCCTCTGCCTAGATTGCGTTTCTACTCGAGTGATTTCACCACCTTTCCTTTTTTCCCGGTTGCTTTTAGCTTTGTTTTTTTTTTTTTTTTTTTTTTTTTTTTTCAGATTCTAACTTTCCATGAGGAAAATACAAGTACTACATGTATGATGACAGGACATCTAAGGCCCTTCCCATTGTAAAATGATGAGGTATTTTTTTAAACTCAAGGATGCCCCAGTGCCTGCTCCAGACCTAATAGTTATTTTCAAATAAAGAGTTCAAATAATTCTATTTTCTCTCTCCTGTGTCATTACAATACCCTGTAAAACAAGGCAAGAAAAAAAAAGTATAGCATTGAACTGAAATTTTCTAAGCTTTCTGATGCTATGTGGAGGATCCACAAGTTCCTAAGAAATTCTTTCTGCAGAGCCCAACGCATATATAAGGCAGTTTCACAGAACGGACTTAGGGCAGAGAAACCCTACACAAGTCACGCACACACAGGAAATCTACAGAGATGCCACTTCCAAATTACTTATTTCTGCAGTATAGAATGATTTCTGCAGTATAAAAATAATATTATCATACCCAAACGATCAGAACAAATCAAATCAGCATCAATAAATCCCACTTTAAAAATTAAGCTGTCCGAATTCCAAGTTAACAACGGTGGCTATCTCACTGTAAATGAAGCCCTCAGAATTACGTGAGATGATGTTACGATGCATCAGGTTCAACGACTAAGACAACGATCTGCACTGAGTCAAGGCCATCCCCAGAAGGGCCATGGGTGGCTCTTGTTTGCTTGTTTCTTCCCTCAGCACCATGAAAGGCGCACAGAAGATGCTGAAATACTACAGAATATCAGTATTTCCCATTGATATTTCCCACGTAGCTAAATTTAGTAAACAGTAAGAACTGCATGTGTGATCATTCTCCAGTTCCTTACAGGGGCCTTCACTTCTGGCATTACCTCTATGTCCACTACTGTCTCCCACTACATCCCTCTTACTCGTTCTGTCACCCACACACTGGTCTCCTTATGGTCACCAAGCACGTCCATCCTGGCCCAGCTAGGGCCTTTGAACCAGCTCTTCCCTCTGCCTAGATTGCGTTTCTACTCGAGTGATTTCACGGCTACCTCCTTCAAATCTTTGCTCACATATCATGTTCCCAGTGAGACTAGTAAGACTGCCTTAAAGTTGCCGCTCAACCACTAACATTAGATCTGATCTTCTTCCATGGAGCTCATCACTTACTTATTTACACGTAATTAATCATCGAGTTTATTATTTACTATCTCTCCCATGCTAGAAGGTAAGCTCATTAGAGAGCTTTTGGCTGATCTATTCCCTACGATGTCCTCTGAACTTGTAACAGTGCTTGCCACATAACAAAGATTTAAAAAATGTTTGCTGAAGTGAATGAAAAATGACTGTAATACAGCTAGCCAATATGCTTGCAAAATGCTGGGAATTTCTTTTTTTTTTTTTTTTAGAGAGAGTTTTTTGCTATAGGGTGCATGCGCTCGCCAGACAGACAGAGACAGACAGAGAGATAGAAAGCGAGAAATCACCCCCCCATGGGGGATGGCCACTCCGCAATCCTTTCTCCTCCATTCTCCTCTCGGGATCTTGGGCACGCACACACACACGCCCAGGACTCGAACCGTGGTCGACTACGTGGGAGTCCAGCAACATAGCCGTTACGCTAACCGCTGGTCCCGATGCTGGGAATTTCTAAGCGAATTTATTACAAGCTTATTTGAGCCAAGCAATCCTTAGTGCTATGCATGGACAGCATGACTACCTTATTCAACGAAGTATGAAAACTAGGTCAGAACAGTAGCCATATTTATTACTGAAAGGTACAAGAAATAACTCAGGAGCCATCTAATTTTAGAAACCGAGTAAAGGTCTTTATGATAAAAGCAGGACAGTATTGTCCATTTTGCCCACTGCATGACCCTGGATTACCCTGTATGACCCTTTGGTTGCCTGCCAGCACCTAAGGTCAACATAAAACAGCTTTCTGCTCAGAGACCTCACCCACAGCAGTTGGCCAAGTCTGCTGAGTCTTTGTGGATGAGCTCCCTGGTTCCTGCTCAAAAGCTAGTAGCTCAAAAACCAAGATTCCTTGGTTTCCAGACCATAAAATGTATTAATGCTCAACCACCTTATCAGGTTGATATTATTTACCATTGCTATTCCTCTGATAGGCTTCACTATACGAGGCTGAAAGACTTAAAAAGAGGTCAAACCAAGTATGTAAGGTCAGTTAATACAAAACAACTAGTGAACAGATTCTTTCAATCATAAACGTGCATAGTTAATTAGCTAAAACTTTAGCAGTTAGATATGAATGTTGTATTTTTTTCCAAGCTAAATGAATAAAAGGTTAACCAGCTGGGTCCAAGAATGGAAAGTGAGACAAGTCAGGATGGTTTTGTTTTCCCGGTCACAGTGTGGTAGTACTCCAGGAAGGTGCCTTGCACGCTGCAAGTCAAGGTTTCACCAGGGAGGTAGCCCGGAATGCATTCTGGGAATGACTCACCCAGGTGGGGTTCTGAGTTTGGATCTGGAGACTACTCTGACTATAAATAAAGTTCATTTGTTCAAGAAACAGCCATATAAACCTTTAAAAGAAAAAAAAGAACCTCGGATGGCACGAGTTCTACTAGGTAACCAGCAAACTCCAGGGCTATTTTATCTGAACAGAATGTGTGGGCACATGCAGTCTGACCAACCAAGGGGCAAGAAAGAGAAAAAAGACCCAATTATTGATACATACAGAAATTTAGAAATCCATTGTAAATTTGATATATTTAGCATAAACTTAATATAAGAAAGACACATCATAAGCCAGAGAGGAAATGACTTTTTTACTCAATGATGTTGGGACACATGTTGAGCCATATGGAAAAAGACACAATAGGGTCCAACCCTCCCTTTCACTAAGACATAGCTGATATGATCTGGATATCTGAATAGAAAAGATAAAGCCATACAAATACTGGACAAAAACATGAGTAAACTCCTTGATAATTTGGCAGTGGGCAAAATATTTCTAGCTAGGATTTTAAAACTTAGAAATAATACAGAAAAAGATAAACTGGATTACATTAAAACAACAACAAAGATAATAACACTGGATAGCAAAAGACACTAAAAGCAAAAAGATAAAAAGGTAAACTAGGAAAAAAAAAAAAAAACTTGCAACTTTTATCACAGAGAGTAATATCCCAGCAGTAATTTTGCACTGCTGTGTAACAAACTATCACAATCTCTGTCTGTGAGTGGAAAGTGAGCACAGCCTAGGGGAGCCCCATTGACAGCTGTCATCAAGCTGTCAGCCAGGCTGTGTTCTCACCTGAAAGCTTGAGTGGGGAAGAACCTGCTCTAAACTCACTCAAGGCAGCAGAATTCAATTCCCTGCAGCCCCAAGACAAGGGACCCTGGCTTTTTAGCAGATGACAGCTGGAGGTCACTCTCAGGTCCTACAGGTGGCCTGCAGTTCCTCGCTATGTGGGCTTCCCCAGCATGGCACCTAACTTCATGAAGCAAACGAGGCACTTCCCACTCTGGTCTGCATCAGGCAGTCTCAGACACTGAGCTGCAGTCACAGGAGGGACAGCCCTTCATCTCTGCCTCCATGACCCAGTGGAGAAACTCACATTCCACTACCTTGCCATACTCCATCCATGAGAAGCTAGCCAGTTTCACGCCCTCTCCAGGAAGGAATTACAGAAAATGAGGGAACCGGGTAGTAGGAAGCAGCCAGGGTCACTTTTAGGCAGAATATCAAATAAAGAGATCCTAAAAGTAAAGAACCAACATTAGCAGAAAGGGAAATGCAAAATGCTCAACTCTGCTCATAAGGGAATACAAATTAAAAGCACACTAAGATGTCATCTCCAACCTGGTCAATTCACAAAAACCCAAAAGCCTGTTAACAGATTCTGATAGTGAGGCTGTAAGGAAACTCACATATGTTACAGCTTTAATGTGGGGTAACTTGGCAACATCTAGCAAAATCATACACTCTCACCCTTCAGACTCAGCAATATCACTCCTAGTACTCTATCCCACAGACAGTAAAAACAGGAAGTAATATATGCACAAGGTAAGTCACTGCACAGCTACTTATAGTAGTAAAAGGCCAAAATCAATCCAGTTGTCCATTTGTAAGGGTCTGGCTGAAAACAAGGAATAGTCGTCATACAACAAAGCAATATGCAGCTATGAAAGGAATTCATCTCGTCTGTATTACTGAGTACAGATAAATCTCCAAGTTACGTGGTCGGGTGATACAAAGATGAGAGTATATACAGAATGCTAATACACAAGTACACGTGCACACCTATGTATTATAAAACAAAGGATAAAGAAAAGGGAGAGACAAAGCATAATACTGAGTGGGCTTCTAGCAACCCCATAAACTATTTTTAAAAAGGTGATACCTGTGGGAAGCTGTGCACCAGCGAGTCTGCTGAGGTTTCTCAGAGAGCAAACAATTGCCATGATTGGTTACCTTCCAAAAACCTGACCTTCGAAACCTTGCTCTGATTGGCCACTAGAATCCCTCAAATTTGCATATCTGGCACCTCATGATTGGCCCAAAAGCAACCAATCACAGCCCACCGTTTACAACCAATCAGGGCCCACCGTTTACAACCCACCAGAGTGTATATAACCACGATGCCTGGCCCACAGTAGCCAGACGATGATGACGACCAGGAAGACGACAACTGAAGAGCCTGAAGAGCTGAAACACCGCGCAGTCTCCAGATGACCCTGAAGATCCTGAAGAGCTGACACTGCATCATCTCCAGACGAACTGGGAGACCCTGAAGAGTTGTAACACTACATCGTCTCCGGACGACCCCGAAGAGCTGTGACACCGCGTCGTCTCCGTGCTGCTCACAGTAGACAACGCGACACTGCGTCATCTCTGTC